ACTGATGGCCGGAGGAAGGTAACAACGTCGTCGTAGGCCCCCTTACCGGTGAAAGGTCCTAATATGGCTAGAGGGGGGGGTGAATAGACTATTTAAAATTCCACAAAACAACTAGAGCAATTTGATTAGTAAGACAAATAGCAAAATGCAAACTTGCTCTAGCTCTACGAGGGTTGCAAGCCATCTATCAATAATTCTAGTTGCAATGATTACTACACACACAACTTGCTATGATACTACTCACTAAGAGCTCTCAATCTTGCTATACTAAAGAGCTCCACTAGATGAACTTAAATAGCAAATCAAGCTCTCAATTCTAATTATACTAAAGAGCTTGCCACAACTAGTTTGCAAGAATATAAAAGAGTGAGTATGGTGATTATACCGCCATGTAGAGGGATGAACCAATCAGAAGATGAAGATGAAATCAATCATCGAGAGAATGCCAAATAGCAAGAGACAACCGATTTTCTCCCAAGGTTCACGTGCTTGCCAACACGCTACGTCCCGCTTATGTCGACCAACACTTGGTGGTTCAGCGGCTAAGAGGTGTTGCACAAACCTCGTCCACACGATTGGACACCACAAGAACCTACCCACAAGTGAGGTAACTTAATGACACGAGCAATTCACTAGAGTTACCTCTCGGCGCTCCGCCGGGGAAGGTACAAATACCCTCACAATCACCGGAGATGGCCACGAACAATCACCAACTCGTGCCAATCCTTCACCGCTGCACCAAGCCATCTAGGTGGTGGCAACCACCAAGAGCAACAAGCGAAATCCGCAGCAAAACACGAATACCAAGTGCCTCTAGATGCAATCGCTCAAGCAATGCACTTGGATTCTCTCCCAATCTCACAAAGATGATAAATCAATGATGAAGATGAGTGGGAGGGCTTTGGCTAAGCTCACAAGTTTGCTAAGTCAATGCAAATGGCCAAGAAAGTGAGCTTGAGCCGGCCATGGGGCTTAAATAGAAGCCTCCACGAAATAGAGCCGTTGGGCTCCTCACTGCACTGAACACGGGCTGACCGGACGCTCTGGTCATATTGACCGGACGCTGGACCTCAGCGTCCGGTCATGCGATGTGCGCCATGTGTCATCGGCTTCAAACGCCGATCGCCCGATTTCAACGGTCAAGTGATGACCGGACGCGTCAGTTAGAAAGTGACCGGACGCTGGACCCCAGCGTCCGGTCATTTCCAGAAAGGTTCCAAACGCGAGATTTCATGCTCGACCGGACTCACCCAGCGTCCGGTTACTCAATGTCTCCTCTGCGCGTCCCACGTCAGCGTACGTCGGCACTGACCGGACACACCCTGCCAGCGTCCGGTCACTTTTAGCGCCAGCGTCCAGTCGAAGACCGAGACCACGCGCTCACTACTGCTACTGACCGGACGCGCCGGTCCAACTGAGACCAGCGTCCGGTCACTTACAGTGACCTTCGTCTTTTCTATCTAGGGCGCCGGTGACACCGTCGGACTGTCCGCACAGTGAAGTTTTTAACCCTTGCTCAAATATGCCAACCACCAAGTGTATCACCTTGTGCACATGTGTTAGCATATTTTCACAAATATTTTCAAGGGTGTTAGCACTCCACTAGATCCTAAATGCATATGCATTGAGTTAGAGCATCTAGTGGCACTTTGATAACCGTATTTCGATACAAGTTTCACCTCTCTTAATAGTACGGCTATCGATCCTAAATATGATCACACTCGCTAAGTGTCTCGATCACTAAAACAAAATGGCTCCTACTATTTATACCTTTGCCTTGAGCCTTTGTTTTTCTCTTTCTTCTTTTCCAAGTTTAAGCATTTGATCATCGTCATGCCATCGCCATCGTCATGATCTTCACCATTGCTTCATCACTTGGAGTAGTGCTACCTATCTCATAATCACTTTGATAAACTAGGTTAGCACTTAGGGTTTCATCAATTAACCAAAACCAAACTAGAGCTTTCAGCCGGTGGCCCTTGTGGTGGTGCCCTGAGCGCGCGCGGCGCAGTGGAACGCCGGCGAGCCGACACGGCTCGGGTGGATTCCGCGACGTGGCGGGATCACCTTCCCGCACGACGGAGGTGGCGACGGCGGCGAGAGAAACCCGGGTAGGTCCCCTCTCCTCTCCGTCCTTCTTCTAGGTTAGTGTTAGGGTTAGGGTTAGGGTTCGGGGTCGAACCCTCTGTTCATCTTCCTCGATTGCTTTTCGCGAGTTAGGGTTAGGGTTCGTGTCTGGGTCGATCCGAATCGGGCCGAATCGAGCCCTTTTTCTTCTGTTGTTCTTCCCCTTCTAGGGTTAGGGTTAGGATCCCTCTGCTTCGATCCGAGTTGGATCTTTCTTATCTTCTTCTAAATTGCTACTCCTGACACTATCTACACACTAGATGGTCTGGCTCTGATACCATTGTTAGGTCATAGTATCTCTAAAACATAGATCAGGTTAGCGTTAAATGGGGAAGCTTGGTCATGTACCTCGCCCTCGCCCTAAGGCAGTTGCGGTCATAGCGTCGCAGTGACGTGGCCGCCGGTGGCGCGGCGCCGTAGTCGAACGCCGTGCGGTGGAGACGCAGTCCATTGGTGGCGATGCAGAGGCGACGATGAAGTCGGTGGTGGCTTCTCGTCGCTGGCAGCACCATCTCTCTTGATCGGTTAGCGTTAGGGTTTCTCTATAGGAGGGTTGCGGTGGCTCAGGTCAACCTCATACCTCGTGCCCCCGCCCCAACTTCCCTTTTATGGTGCTGTGTGACAGGGGGCACCAACCATGGAGCGGTTGGACGCCCCCGATCAAGGCATTGATCCAAGAGCCCAATTAGCCGAACTAACAGGTTTCACTCTCCTTAACATGTATTTGGTTCGCTTTGTGTTTGCCTTTTTTCACTCGTTTGCAGGGGAGACAGAAGAATTCAGCGTCCACTTATACTTCGTTGACCCTTTTGCACACGTTGTGATTCGAGCTAAGCACATTGCTAGTGCAAATTTAAGAGCCCTGAGCCCTTGCTAACTGTCCACAAATCTCTTGCTCTACCTTTATACCTCGATGGCTTGATATGCCAACAAAACAAATCTGCTGTCCATATGTTCAGGCAATGAAACAATAGTCCTATCTAGTTTTCTGCAGTTTTGCTCCTTGGTACAACAATTACAGTAGTCTGATAGGTGTTCGTCTAGCCACTATGTTTGAGTTATATCACAGTGCTTACTGATCAAAGTAGGGGAGTTCAATTACCTATTCAAATGGAAACTACCACTGTGATGGGCAGTTCCCATATGGCGTTCACTTTTTTATTGCGTAGATAATTTTGCAGCAGGTAGGTTTAAAATGGTTTCACATTTTCACAGTTTATTTTTTAATTTACGGACCTTTTTCATTTTAGTAACGACGTTACTTTTCTGAAACAATAGTCCTATCTTGTTATTTCTTTGACCTGTGACTGCTTGGCAAATTGATTGTTTGTTAGAAACTTGAACCTCATACTTATTTTTTCAGGTATGTGAGACAAATAGATTCAGTGAAGAATATGAGTGAGTGTTTTTTTATGTGTGTGTGTGTTCAGGTCTTACAACTCATAAGAGCAGTGGTAAAACGATATTTCCTTTGTTGTTACTAGCTAGATCCTACATTGCCTTTATGAGATTTGCATATAACACAAGGAGATGCTTATTTTTCATGTATTGATTTTTATCTTTTTATGCACATTTTTAGATACTGTGTTCTAGGTTTCAGTAAATCTGCATATCTGTATATAAGGGTGAACTGGGATTTTTTTTACCTTGCTTTGATGATTTTCTCCTGGCTTTTGTAATGTTGATGCCTGTGTTTGGATCCCTGTTCGTGGTGACCCAATTGGATGCAGTGAACATGCATATATGTTGATGCCTGTGTTTTCAAAATTGTAATGTTTTTGTTCTATTAGTAATTTGTACCAAATTAGATGCTGATCTATGCAAAAAAAAAAACAAATTTCAGATGAAGGTGCTTTTGGGGTGGACTGCTTTGATTGTTTACATGTGTTGCATCTTGTTCTTTTGCTTCTGATCTGGGTGAATTTCAAGTTTGGTCTTGCTTTTGCTTTGATCCTCATCGTCTTTCTTCCTCTGCTGCGTTGCCGCTGCGGCCATCTACGTTGCCGTGTTTTTTTTTTTTTTGTTCTATGGCACCGTTTCTTTCTTATCCTTTCAAGTATGCTTTATCTGTGTTGTCATTTGGCTGTTTTTTTTTTTTTATTATTTTCTGGAAGATAACGGCCGTAGAAATCTTCCAGAAGATAACAACTATAAAAATCTTCCAGATTCTGTTACATGTGACGTACATGCGCTGCTTTTTCTTTTTCTTTTTCTTTTTTTTTATATCATGATTGAAAATGTGGAAGACAACAAACAACAAAATCTTATATGTTGGTAGTCTCGAAAATAAGGTAGGATGGAGACGGCTGCGTGGTCTAAGAAAGATAGGGTCGAGGGCTTGAGACCCACCCCATATAAAAGTCAAACAAAGAGTAGTTAATAATAATATAATAAACTATTAATAAATTCCCTAAAAATACTAATAAATAAATAAATAAACCCAACCGAGGGCTTCCGGCCGTCCATCGTATTCTCATCTCACTTTTTTCTTTCTTTCTCATCAAACCAAATCAAATCGATCGAATAAAAAGTCGTATTCCATTCACTTGTTTCCCCTTGTTCATCCTCGTCCCTGCACCTGTCCCTTTCCCTAACATAAGTCGGCGGCGGCGAGGAATCCCTTTCCCTCCTCCTGTTAGGTTTGCCGCGGATCCGATCCAAGGTAATTTACATTCCCTCCCTAACATAAGTCGCCATCCCGCCGTTCCCGCCGCTGCAGCTCGGGCTCCGACCGGTCACGCGCCGGATCTATCCGGTGTCCTCGCCGTCTTCTCCTCGGGCGCCACCTTCATTACGTCGGCCTTCTTCTCCCCGGCGGCTGAGACGGGGACTTGCGCCGTTCGTCCCCTCAAGGCAAGGAAAGAGGGAGGGGGATGACGTGGTTCCGCGCCGCCTCAGGGGCCGCCCGCCTCGCCCTCCGCCGCAGCCTCGCCAGCCGCGCGTCGCCAGCCGCCACCCGATGCGGCCGCGGCTTCCACTCCACCGCTCTGCGGCCCCGCTCCGCCGCCCCCGTGCCCCGGGCCGTCCCGCTCTCGCGCCTCTCTGACAGCTTCCTCGACGGCACCAGCAGCGTCTACCTCGAGGAGCTCCAGCGGGCCTGGGAGGCCGACCCTTCCTCCGTCGACGAGTCATGGGACAACTTCTTCCGCAACTTCGTCGCCCAGGCCTCTCCCTCCGCCGGCGTCTCCGGCCAGACCATCCAGGAGAGCATGCAGCTCCTCCTCCTCGTCAGGGCCTACCAAGTCAACGGCCACATGATGGCCAAGCTCGACCCCCTCGGCCTCGACGAAAGAGCCGTCCCCGAAGACCTCCACCTCGGCCTCTACGGCTTCACAGACGCTGACCTCGACAGGGAGTTCTTCCTCGGCGTCTGGAGGATGTCCGGTTTCCTCTCCGAGAACCGCCCCGTCCTCACCCTCCGTGAGATCCTCAGCAAGCTCCAGCAGGCATACTGTGGACCCATCGGCTACGAGTACATGCACATCCCCGACAGGGACAAGTGCAACTGGCTCAGGGAAAAGATCGAGACCGCCAAGCCCAAGGAATACAACAAGGACCGCCGCCTTGTCATGCTTGACAGGCTTATCTGGAGCACCCAGTTCGAGAACTTCCTAGCCACCAAGTGGGCCACCGCCAAGAGGTTTGGCCTTGAGGGTGGCGAGACACTCATTCCTGGCATGAAGGAGATGTTCGATAGGGCTGCTGACCTCGGCGTTGAGAACATTGTCATCGGCATGCCGCATAGGGGAAGGCTCAATGTCCTTGGTAATGTTGTTCGCAAGCCACTGTCTCAGATATTCAGCGAGTTCACTGGCGGCACAAGGCCTGTTGAAGGTGAGGATGGTCTCTACACCGGAACCGGTGATGTCAAGTACCACCTGGGTACCTCCTATGATCGCCCAACTCGAGGCGGCAACAGGATCCACTTGTCCTTGGTCGCCAATCCCAGCCATCTGGAAGCCGTTGATCCTGTTGTCATTGGCAAGACACGCGCTAAGCAGTTCTACTCCAATGATACTGACAGGACAAAGAACATGGGTATTCTGATCCATGGAGATGGAAGCTTTGCTGGCCAGGGTGTCGTCTATGAGACGCTCCATCTAAGTGCCCTCCCAAACTACACTACTGGTGGAACCATTCATATTGTTGTCAATAACCAAGTTGCCTTCACGACTGATCCAAGAGCTGGCAGGTCCTCCCAGTACTGCACAGATGTCGCCAAAGCCCTGAATGTTCCTATATTCCATGTAAACGGCGACGATTTAGAGGCTGTTGTTCGTGTTTGTGAGCTTGCAGCTGAGTGGCGCCAGACTTTTCACTCTGATGTGGTGGTCGATCTGATTTGCTACCGCCGTTTCGGGCATAACGAAATCGATGAACCCTCCTTCACACAGCCAAAGATGTATCAGGTAACCCTACTAATACTGGTTCAATATTGTTTTTTGTATGTTATTTTACCATTTTCCCATAAGTTGGCACTTGATACATTTGCAGCTCTTGTTCACTCTATATTTTTATAAGCTGGCTGTGCTTGCGCATATATTTCTGTTAACTCATTGTCCAAATTCTTATGCTGTTTCTTGGAGGAAAGCTAATTAAGTTGGTTGTATAGAACTTACAAAAGAAATAAAAGCCTCTGATCCTGTTCTCTCTCCCTTTCCCCCTCCATTCTGAATATGCTTAGCGCATTGCTGGACCCTGATGAGCATTATCTGTGACAGGTCATTAAGAACCATCCCAGCTCATTGAAGCTTTATGAGCAGAAACTGCTCGGAACGGGTGAAGTCTCAAAAGAAGATGTCCAGAGGATCCATGACAAGGTGAACCGAATCTTGAATGAAGAGTTTGCAAAGAGCAAAGACTATGTTCCCAACAAGAGGGATTGGCTCTCAGCTTACTGGACTGGCTTTAAGTCACCAGAGCAAATATCACGTGTTCGCAACACTGGGTAAGAACACTGTCTGTTGATTTCACTTTATTGTCGTCTGTTCAACTATTAGATGTTGAAAATGCCTTCTATGCAGGGTGAAGCCCGAGATACTGAAACGTGTAGGACAGGCAATTACTACACTGCCTGAAAACTTCAAACCACACAGAGCAGTGAAGAAGATTTTTGACCTGCGAGCAGCTATGATCGAGAGTGGTGAAGGAATTGATTGGGCTGTTGCAGAAGCCCTGGCCTTTGCAACACTTATAGTGGAAGGCAATCATGTTAGGCTAAGTGGACAGGATGTGGAAAGAGGAACTTTCAGCCATCGGCATGCAGTTCTGCATGATCAGGAAACTGGAGCAAAGTACTGCCCACTTGACCATGTTGCAATGAATCAAAGTGAGGAGCTGTTTACTGTTAGCAACAGGTAAGTTTGCTTATGGATGTACCAAATCTCTTATCTGTCATTTCAGTGAGAAGTTTTTTTTCCCTTATGTTATATATTACTCTGTTTGCAGTTCACTTTCAGAGTTTGCTGTTCTTGGGTTTGAATTGGGTTACTCCATGGAGAACCCTAATTCATTGGTTCTTTGGGAAGCACAATTTGGCGATTTTGCCAATGGTGCACAAGTGATGTTTGACCAGTTTTTGAGCAGTGGCGAGGCAAAATGGTTGCGGCAAACCGGCCTTGTTGTTCTGCTGCCTCATGGTTATGATGGCCAAGGTCCTGAGCATTCCAGTGCCCGCTTGGAGCGCTTCCTTCAGGTAATTCACAGGAGCCATGTTTTCGTTATTGGTGTTGTTCAGCCATCACATCAGTGTTGAGCAGTCCTTTTTTTGCATCCTTGTTCTATATATTTTAGTTGTTTTTTATCCAACTATTTTGAAAGAAACCATGTAATTTTTGTGCATCCATACAAATCATGTTTTCCCATGCGGGTCTACAGTATTATAAATTCTCTAATGTGAGATGTTTGTTTTTCTCTTGAAACCATTTTGATAAGAAATGCAGTTTTGAACTTTTGATGCATCCGCACAATTCTTTTTTGTGTGGCAATCAATAGTCATGTCATGCAAGTGTACAGTAAATTCATTTCCTTTTGGTAATGATTCAGATCTTCTGCTTGTCTGGAGACTAGAACTTGAGTTTAACTGCTTACTTGAGACTGCCATAATGATTGTTTTGTGCCAGATGAGTGATGATAATCCTTTTGTCATACCTGAGATGGAACCAACACTTCGCAAGCAGATACAAGAGTGTAACTGGCAAGTTGTGAATGTGACAACTCCTGCAAATTATTTTCATTTGTTGCGTCGGCAGGTCAGCTTATCTTATTGTGCAGTTTGTTTTTCTGATTCTAGCATTTGGTTTGCAGTTTGCTCACATGTTATATTCTTTCTATTGTTGCCTACTGTTGGGGTGGGGCTGTAGATACATAGGGAGTTCCGGAAGCCACTGATTGTAACAGCCCCGAAGAACCTGCTTAGGCACAAGGATTGCAAGTCAAATCTTTCAGAGTTTGATGATGTTGAAGGCCATCTAGGATTTGATAAGCAGGGAACACGTTTCAAGCGACTGATAAAGGACCGTAATGATCACAAGCAAGTCGAAGAGGGTATCAACCGTCTTATCTTATGTTCTGGGAAAGTAAGTATGCCTGTTTCTGAATAAAATCAAACAAATTAGTGGTTGGGGACAATATGAACAATTTGTTGCATTGCAGGTTTACTATGAACTTGACGAAGAGCGTAAGAAGTCCGAGCGTGGTGATGTTGCAATTTGCAGAGTTGAGCAACTTTGCCCATTCCCGTATGACCTTATCCAAAGAGAGCTTAAGAGATACCCAAGTACGTGAGGTTTTCCTTTAGTTTTTAATATTTTCCCTAAATGATAGTTTCCATTATCAAAGATGTTATGGAGCTCTTTTTATTCTGAGCACATTATGAACTGTTCTCGACTGTCATGTTTGAACGATGTAGATGCGGAGATTGTGTGGTGCCAGGAGGAGCCCATGAACATGGGTGCATACAGCTACATCTGTCCTCGGCTGTTTACTGCCATGAAGGCTCTTGGGCGGGGTTCGTTTGAAGACATCAAGTATGTGGGCAGAGCACCTTCAGCTGCTACAGCAACAGGCTTCCTGTCGGTTCATGTGCAGGAGCAGTCAGAGCTAGTGAAGAAGGCACTGCAGCCAGAGCCGATCAAATTCCCCTGATGCTATGCACCTGCGTATATCTTAAAACAACATGCGAAATAACAGGACCCCGACTTGCCTCTTTGCAGGAGGCTCAACATGCCAAACCTGCGTTTTTCTAAAGTTTTGCCCTGTACGAGCTTTTTTCGAGTTCCAGTTTTGAGGCTTTTCTGCGTTGGAAACAATGACGCGTTATGAAGAAATGGAGCGGTGTAAGAACCATAAATCCTTTGTTTTGCAAACTCTGCTTTTCATTCTGGCTTTTCCGATGCTGCACACATCGCAAGATGCTTTTTTGGGTGGTGTTCTCGTGCATGTAATGTCTCAGTCTGGTGTTCGTAAGGATAAGCATGGCAGTTATATATATATATATATATTTCATGGTAAGTCATGACGCAAAGTCAATTCTCATTGGTTGGCAACCCAACAACTGACTGGCCCGGCCATTGACCCTTGGCTGAATTTGTTGCCACCACTCAACGAATTAGGCACTAGGTAATCAAGATGATAAAACAAGGGAGACCAAGATGATAAAACAAGGGAGACCAACAAGGAAACAAAAGCAGCTGATAAACTTGCTAAACAGGCAACACAAACTGGCAAGACAGACAAACTGGCAACACAGGAGTAACAAAGTTCAGCTTCTGACCCTTAATCATAGATATTATGCACAAAGGTTACAGAACTTTGCCTGCAGTATTCTTCCGGGGGGGAAAAAATACACAAAACTTTGCCTGCAGTGCATATCATCCCCAGGCTCGACAAACAACTTTTGGCCAAAAGCCAGTTCACGATGATGCAAAAACGTAAAACCCCACATATGCACAGCGCCCACATAACCACAAATATACACATATCAATCAACAGGTGACACGGTACAGTGCAACGCAAGATCAACCAAGTGCAATTAAATTGGAAACGGTTACAAGCAATACGCCAGGAACGCCAGGCCAGGAACCTGTACATAATACCAGGTGCTTTGAATAAACACATGCTTCCTTCATCTGTCTCTGTGACTGCTCCACTCACTGAGGCGGTGCTGCATTTGCATCCAGTGTGTTGTAGGTGTAGTCGCTCGTGTTCAAGCCATACTGGATGGCAGCAAAAATGTGTGAGTTAGTTACTAGTCCATCAGAATAGATAGAGAGAAAGATAATCATTTTCTGGGCAAGCAATAATTTTCTGTAGCCCGTGAAAAGAGAAATTGACTGTAACACCTCAGATCTAATGAATTATCTTTGGACATCATAGCATTTTCATTGGCTAGTGATAGAGTGGATATATAGTCCAACACAGGTAAAGTAACACCAAGGGAATGATGACAAACTGCAACCGACAAGTCACAGTAGTAGTGCATCCACAGACCAATCATCAATAAAATTCTTCTGCAAAAGAAGCTGGGAGTATGCTCGCTTAAAAAGGGGGGAGAGAGTGTGGGACGGAGTTCTTCCCTCCCCACTCTGCCATCCCTGCCTCACCACCACAAAAAGGAGAGGGAGAATGGAAGATAGGGAGAGGATGAAAATCAGCATTGTGTCCAAAACAGCTATTTAATCATCCCTGCGATTGTAAAACTTCATCCACCGATGAAATTCTATCTGCCCCCACCTTTACTCAAATGTTACTATGTCTCACTAGGAATCTGCCCAGCCCTGTGAAGCTGTGGATCTAGTTCTACAATGGGTGCACTCTATCGTGGTGCTGTGTGTCAGTGTGTTTAAATTGCAGTATTGCACATGGTCATGGAGTTAGACAAACCAATGAACTGATGCCCTGTAGAGAAGCACGAGCACTTTGACTGCAAAGACAAGCTTGACTTCTGGTTCTATTTTTATTTTGTACCCCATGCTAATAATGACTAGTAGGGTAGACATCTAATCAATAATGAAGGTGGATGATAAGGAAACTTTTGTAGTTCGGAGATACAGAGATTTGAAGAGCGGATAAATTGAATGTGAACTATCATAGATAATGAAGTGGAGCTACTTCTTTTGCTTGAGAAAAAAAGAACTTGCAGAATACAACTAATGATTTATAAACTCCTCATCAAACTTGAGACATCTAGTTGGTAAAGAACTCTCAGAACTGTATAGAAAATCAACAACGTTGTTTATCACAGGACAACTAAGTCCGACAACTATAACCAAGTCAAGAAAATGAGGATTAAGATGTCATGTGCAACAGCTGTTAGATTATTATGTGGTTACTAGTATATTAGTTTCCATACATCTATTGACTTGATTAGAGATGAGCTGGCCTCTTTCACGATGTTCAAGGATTATATTTGGTTGTTAGGTATCCTCTATATATAGTCTACACAGGGGGGGAAATAGTATCTCGTGGAACAATAAAGCGAAATGAATTAGCCAGAGTCGTCAAGCTTCTCCAAGTCAGTGTGGTGGGACGATACTAGATGAGAAGGTGATGTTCAGCTTGCGGCGTCTCTAGTGTTAGTTCATTCCTGTTTCTGTTGTATATATAATCCAAAAGATAGTGCGGGTTCGAAGCAGCCTCTCCGTAGATTTTGCGGGGGGGAAGGCTTGCCTCGGTTTTTCCCTTCCCCAGACCCCACTCATGTGGGAGCCTCCGGCACTGGGTCTGCCCCCTTTTTATAGTGTTGAAGTGGGAGACAGTTGTCACCTTGTGTCTCATTGTTGAGCTCCAGAGGTCAGGACAGGCACCTCTGGTATCAACGGTGGTAGGGAGGTAAGGTGCAGGAGCTTGGGCAACCAGGAGTGGCCTCCGTATAACCACAAAGTCTTCATCGCTGTCGTAGTCCACGGTCCGGGCAGACAGCATGGCCCGTAAAATCATAGCCAGGAGAAGTGAGAGTGCCTGAAGATGAATGAAACATGGTAAAAGAAGATGGTTTGTAATTACAAAACATGCTGACATATAATGAATGCAACAAGAGCATGCATTCAGTACTGACTAGTGAGTATGGATGGTAATAGGAATACTCTTATATTATATAATAAAAAAGTGGAAGAATCTAGCTGAAAGAGAATAATTGAAGGGGATGAGGCGACCTGCGTGGCGAAGATGGCAAGAGCAGCCCATTTGCATAGGTCGAGGTTATTATGGATGAAGGAGAGTAAGTTGTGGAGCTCTCCCGTGCGGTCCTCTGGCAGGTCCTGATTGATGATGAGTATGAGTATTAGAGTACATATACGGAGCGAGCAAGTAAGAAAGAAAAAAAAAAGAATTGAGATTTGTTAAAAAAGAAAAAGAAATTGAATGAATGGAACCTGAATCCAGTGCTGGTTGAGCGCGAGATGGGCGGCGAGAGCGGCTTCGAGCAGCATCATAGCCATGGCCGGGATGGTGTACTGTCCAGGGGAGTTTCCAAATCCAAAAGTAATATAAATAAATAAATAACCTAAAAATGAGAAAAGAAGAAAGTGTATGTAGTATTGCAGACGTACAAAGCAGAGGCAGCATCCGGTGTTGATCTCGGCTGCCAGGTAACCCGCGAGGAGCAGGAGGCAGTAGATGAGCCCCGCCGCCATGACGAGCGACGGGAACCAGAGGTCCGGGCTTAGGAGGTCGCTGAGGTGGAGCTGGTGGTGGCGCGCCCAGCGCGAGAGCATCCATGCCGCGTAGAGGAGGGCGGAGACGGCGGCGAAGGCCTGGAGGAAGGCGAGCAGCTTGAGCAGGAAGCCGAGGCAGCACGCAGGCCAGCCCAGGCTCAGGCTCAGGCTCCGGCCCCGGCCGCCTTCTCTGCTCCGGCGACGCACCATCGGATCTGATTCCGCGATATCGGTGTCGCTGCAACCTCCCCTCGCCGATTACCCTAGCAGCAGCAGATCTGGAACTCTCTCTTGTTTGGATAGGAACTGGATTTCTCTTGTCTTCTCTTCTCTTCGTTTGGAAGCGCAACTGGATGGGATTGGAGGAGTGGCTGGGCTGAAGCAACGCAACGCAACGCTGGAATCGTCCCTGGAATCGGGCGGCTGCTCTGCCTCTGCCTGCGCTTGCTTGTCCAGGTCGGAATGGGATGCGTTGATTTGACTCACTCCTTGGTCTGCTCGTTCGTTCCCGGCCCGGCCCATAAACAATCGAGCCCAGGAGGAGGGTCGGTGCAATCGTCCTTACGTCTCGCTCCTCCGCCTTACCACTAACTAGCACGTGCTCCTTTTAATTCCTCTCCTCGATGCATCAGAATATATATATATACCATATCATATCATCAGATCATGTTGCGCCGCCGCCCAAATCCAAGGCCGGCGCGGCGCAATCCACCATATATTCCGTTCATCCGCCTCTCCTTTCCATGCAAATGCAAATGCACCAAACCAATGCCCCGTTCACTTGGCTGCATGGCTGAAAGCACTGTTGGCTGATTTGTTGTGAGAGAAAAATACTATTTATTAGCTAAAAAGTACTAAACGAATAGGCACAAAACCGACGACGGAGAGAGAGAGAGAGAGAGACGTACGGAGCACATGCATGTGATGTGCCTCCGACTCCGATCCAAACATAATAATCGATCCACCATGGATCATCCATCAGTCTCCAGCCAGCCAGCCAGCCTCCTCTCCAGACTCCAGTCTCATCTCATCATCAATATAATGCAACAGCAGCAGGCGAATAGCCACCAGGCGGAGGCGGAGGTGGTGGCCATGCTGTGCCTGCAGGCGCAGCAGGTGGCCGGTCTGCCAGACGCTATGGAGGGCCGCCGCATCCAGCTGAGTGCCACCTCTACTCCTGCTCCTGCTGCGGCAGTGGCAGTGTGCAGGGCGGGCGTGGCAAACTTCCACCATCAGGTGCTCCTCCTGCACTGTGCACCCATCAACAGCATCAACACCGTCGTGGTCACGGTCACCATGGCCGCCACCTGCAGCGACCAGCAGGACCCCCCGCCGCCGCTCGTATTATTGCCAGTGTCACTCTCGACCTGGCAGAGCAGCTGCGTCATCCCTGTCACTCCCCCAGTGTCCTCAGCTTCATGCTCGGCATCGGCAGCACTACCATCTTTACGCAGAATACCGCCGCGGTGCCGCGTGCTCTCTCTCTTTGCACCACAGTTGTTGTTGGTCACCACCACGGGGCGAGGGGCGAGGGGCGGTAGCCTTTCTTCTTACTTGCTACTGAGGTGCCCTCCCCCCTCACCGGCATTGCGCCCACCAAATCTTTGCGGACGGCACGACGAAGGCGAATCGTCGACGATCGTGGCCCCGGTGAGGTCTGCGGACGGCGACGGCGACTCCTCGTCCTCGCTTCATCACCATCGAGAAGGGCACCATCTCCAGGCGCCGCCCACCGTCCGACTACCTGCTCACCACCGACGACGACGAGGTGGACGGCAAGCGGCCGCCGAGGCCCCCTGACCCCACCACGACCACCACCTGCTGCTGGTCCTTGGACGACGACACCAAGGTGGAGAACGAATTCCTGGCCATGCTAATGCTGGAAGAAGACGACGACGACTTGGACCAGCTGGACGCGCTCATCAAGGACGCCGAGGCCGACCTCGCTGCCATATGGCCAAGTCGCGGATTATCGACGAGGAGCTCCATCAGCTGCCTCCTCCACGTGCCACGTGTGCCTATATATGATCATTGATCAATCAAGGCCGTAGTAGTAGATGATAGATGCATGCACCCGCCCATCCCAAATTCCTCGTTCCCAACAGATAGCAAGGGTTTGTTAATCTGATCCTACTCGCTCGCTCCTATAAACCAACACAAGCACAGTAACGCAAGCTTCTCGATTTAAGAAGCGAGAAAATGGTGAAGAGGGGTAGCTAGCATTCCACGTGTCTCAGCAATCTAGAACTGGATCCGGATGATGTGTACTAGTAGTATATTATTATATCATTCCATCCCATTACCCCATACGTAGAGATGTGATACTACAAGCAGATCGAGGTGGCAAATACTGCAATGGATTGCTAGAGAACACCGCAATCGGTGTGTTTTTATATGGTTTCTCCTATCTTTTCTCGAGTCCTATTACTTATATTGCTAGAGAAGAACTTTATTATGATTACGCTTGGGCTAGGGCTAGAGACATTTCCTTCCTCCTCGACCTTGCGATATATTCTAGATAACAGAAAATTGGAGATTTATTATGTAACTCATGTTGTTTTCCTACGTTATGTATTTTTGAAGGGATATGTGTTGTGGCCTGTGGGAGTGTTTGTAAGGGCTCTTGTCCATTTCATTCTTCTTAATATGATTTTATGATACAACACAAAGTCTCATGTGTGATCAAGAAAAAAACGATATAGATTAATTAGTATCCAAATCCTAATAAAAATCCAAAGGAAACACCGCAAATCGGTGTGTTTTGACATGGTTAGTTTCTCCTATCTTTTCTGGAGTCCTATTGCTTTTTTCTAGGGAAGAACTTTGGGTGTGTTTGCTTTAAGGAATGAGGTGGTCCATCATCTACTCATTCCTCACTTTTTAGTTTGGTTTGTGGAACAGAATAGGTTGATGCATCATCACCTTATTCCTCACAAGCTAATAATTAGTACTAGTATATATGAGGAATAATGAAGTCATCCTACCAAATTTGAGGAATTAACTCATGATGCACCACCTCATCTAGGATGGAGTGGCTCCTCAAACCAAACACGCCCAGGCTTGGGCTAGGGCTAGAGGTGTCTCCTTCCTCCTCGACCTTGCGACATATTGGAGATTTATGTAACTTGGGTTGTTTTACTACATTCAAAAAACATGATTTGTAATGTATGTTTGAAGGGATACGTGTTGTGACATATGGGAGTGTTTGTAAGGGCTCTTGCGTTCATTTTCATTCTTCTAAGTATAATTTTGTGATACACAAGTCTCATATGTGATCAAGAAAAAATTGTTATAGATTCAAATACTAGAGGTTCATCATGTGGGGCTAACTCATTAGTTGCTTTATCTAGATTTATTTTCATGTCAAGGACTTTTCCCATGGCCGATGCATATGCTGATGTGGCATCCAAAACGACTCTCCATCATGGGAGAACTTGACTCATGATGAGAAAGAGAAGAATAAATCCATATATGACATCCTCTTGGCAAATAAGAAAGATGGAGTGGCCCCACATGCTGGAAAGCCTGGTGCACCACCGACACATCACCATTGATGTTGTTGCTTACCCCATATCCGAGCTTGGTTGCCTAACTTGTTGTTGCAGTCGCTGCCAATTGTTGTTGAGGTAATGTCTACGCGTCAAAATTATGAGCCAGGGCATCGAGTGATCCAATGAGCATGAATCTTTAAGCGTGGCCAACAGTGGACCCGGATCAACGGCTAGTCTAAGCGGGCACGCAAATCTCCTGCTCAGGAGAAAGGACAACAACAATTTCCAGGTTTATATTCGAAAACATCATCAGTTCTCATATACTAGAAAATAGGCACTATTCTGCCAGAATACTTGACCAATAATCAATTCTGTAAGAATCGAGGTCTTATTCATAAATTTCAGCTTTATTGAACTCTTTCTTAATATTGATGGGTTTTATGAAATTTTTCCGCGGCCCAATTCCTTTTAATTCGACCCATATTCTTGTACACGGTCCAAAATCCTTCGGGGATCTCATACTAGAAATTCTGCTCGATCCGTAGCTTTTCTCTTCCTGAGTTCTCCCGTGGCCTTTCTTGGCCACATTCACTGGTTGATTTACGAAATTTTGGTTTAAGTGTTGGTCTTTCTTTGGTTTATTGTGAGAGAAAAATATTGTTGGTGGACCTGGTTTGACCAATTTGAAAGCCGATAATAAATAACAGGGCGCTTGGCTTCTTCTTGCTAACCACGGCGGCGGCGGCGGGGCACCGAAGCCTAGACGTGCAGGTCCATCTTACGGTGGCAGATGCGGAGACGTGGGCTCCGATGGTGTACGGCGCACCAACCATGGATGGCTACTGTGGTCGTGCAGGCTGGTTGGCAAGCAGACGCGTGATGCTTGCGGGCTATGTCCTCATCAACGGGATTCAGTCCGAGGTGAGCGGCCAGCGGCGTGCGGTAATCGATCTGAGGAAGAGCCGAGTGCTGGATACGAACAGGGCTATTATTTTTTTCATTAGTGCAATTAGTGCAATAGCAATATGCAATAGTGCAATATATGCAATATTAAAAAATACGGTATCGGTGGGCTGAAAATTCAAGAACCTTTCTAAATGATTTTTTTTGTCCAGTTTTCTTCTTGTGCTGTTGTTGTGGGCATGGGCGACCCGATGGATACCCGTGACCCGAGCGGGTATGGGTTTGGGCATAAAGGGTGTGTTCTTCCAGACCAGCCAGCTGCTCCTCCTCGTAAAACACTGTTTATCAACTCGCCGCTACAGTATTTCTCTCTCAAAACAATCAGCCAGTTTCAGCCAAGTTTCAGAGCAGCGAACGGGCCAAAATCAAACCCGTGATGGGTCATGGGTTTTTTAGCGGGCAGCTGTTCACGGGTATGGGTTTGGGTTTATACCCGTTGCCATCTTTAGAATGGCGGCTGTTACTGTGTTTCCAATTCCAATTCCATGTTCCGGTTCGGCGATGCAGCCCAGCTCACCAATTCCATTTCCAGCTCCAGATCGGAGTAAATCTGCTTCTGATCGGATTCGATTGGATTTGATTTGATTCCGGCTGTGTCGAACCCTAGCTTCCATCTCGATCCAATCCCAGTTCCACTTCTTCTTCTTCCTCCTCCTCGGCAGCTGCCATCGTCGAATGAGTTGAAGATGACGGCATACTACTACTGGTCCTCCTAGGAAAGGTCAGGGAAAGGAAGGATTCGAGGGAAGAGAGGAG